CTAATCGCCCTTTATTGTAGAACACGAACTCTGGAAAACCTTAATTATCTTCATGTATTATAGGCACATAAATTAAATAAAATAGATTCATGTATTGAAATACTTGATTATTTACTTATGATATCCTTCTGTATCTATGACCATTCGAGCTTATGAATGCGCATTTAGTGATTTGCGTAGATACGAAATCAAAAAGTTATTTTTTATTAATTAAAACATAAATATCAGTTACGCCTATTTAACAATACTAAATCTTAAAAAATAACTAAATCTTCTTGAATCGTTTTGAGCATGTCAATTTCGATTCAATTATTCTTCTACGGGCAAATTACAATTATAGTTACACACGAATATAATTTTAGAAGGAGACATTCATAAATATGTTACCTTATTCACCCTTAGCGCTTTTATATAATTGTTTGTTTTATATTATACTATTATGTACATTATTCTATTATTTAATATTTCAGAGGTTAAAAAATACTTTCTTTAGGTTCTCAATGCCAGGTGATTAAATCACCAACAGTATTAAATTTAAGGTATTAAGACAAATTAGTGTGGCCTTTTGTATGGTCGCGGGCTCCTTTCGGTGTAGAGCTAATGTTTGCCTCGTCTTCCCAACTTGGTCATATTGGCAGGAAGACCTAGACAAAACACACCTTATCCTGAGTTCATAGTATGTATAATAATATCCAGAGTCGGACCGTAGACTTGGTACCTTCCCAGACATACCGCCGGCATCGTCGGTGAACCTTGCGATTCTTAAAACCACGCAACAATTCATCAATGAGAAAAGTGAAATCTGTTCTTTGACCAATTTTCTGCTAAACAGTTATCATGTGCTTTTAACCTATTCTATATTTTCGTATCAACCGTTCAATATCACAATTTCTGACTTGTTTATCTAAACCCATCTCAAACCTATTCACACTCACCGCTGCTTTCCACATCCCTCCCACTCTTTCTTCGGGTCCTACCAGAGTCGCTCTCTTGCTCCGTAACATCCTTCCCTTATCTGCC